TTTGCTAATCGTAGCTTGATAGTGCAAATTTGATGTGAGACTAGTTTTGCTAGTTAGTTGTGCAAAAACTTAATTCAAATTAGCGGTGTTTAAACGTTCTAGCCAACTAGTGGGAATGGAGAGAAGATGATTGGGAGGGGAAGTGGCAAGGGGATTGAAGATAGATGAACAAAAGAGAACAAAGAAAAAAGAACGTTCTATATGTGGAAAAATGATAATGGTTTTCTTGGAAAAATGAGACAAAAGAGGAATGCCAAAATTCTTGATTCCCCGAATTTTCAGGCTCAATCGCTCCCGAGTCCATAGCTGGAAAATCTTGCGTAATGGTCTATGGTCTACTGTTTGTGCCACTGACGCTCGTTGTACTTCGAGATCTCGGTCAGTGGGCACTTGTGCACACAACAAAAATCTACGCTCGATTGCTGATCATGTTCAGGTGGGTATGAGTGGGTTACGGTAGCCTTAGCATGTCTGGAAAACAAATCCGGGCACTTAAAGTGTCTGCTCTCTTTGGTACTTACCGGGAAGTTCCAAGTCATTGTCTAAGTAAACTCTCTGATCCATTTGTGGTCAAACCCAGGCTCTCTTCTTGTTCACGCCTTCATATATAATGAACCAATCACAGCAGTGTATCAGAGCACTCTGATTGGTCCGCGCTGAAAGAATACGGTTGGAGACTGTAAAGCTTGGCAATTAACTATGTGTTGTTGCTTGGGCGGCGGCAGTCCCTCAACAGTTTCAAATAAAAATTTTTGTTTGGTTTCTGTGCACTTCTTCCGAAAGTAATTTCTTCGATTTCAGAAGGGCCAGAGGACATGAGGAGACGAAAGATGACGAGTTGATTAATCTGCCAATAAAGTTCTGCATGGGCATTATGCTGTGTAAGTCTAACTTAATTTTGTGATTTTTGATATTCAGCTGGTGAATGCTTCCTAGCGTTATACATGCGCTACTTTACTGTTACTAGAAATTGCCATTTATATAAAGCCCACGGTATTTTTTCTATTTAATGAGCTTTCTGAGCAATGCATATAAATGTTGCTGAAACAGCCTATTTGTACTACAAGTTTTGGGAGAATGCATATATTTAGGTTATCTGCTATTTGCTAGTCTGTTTATCTACGAGTACGATGCGCTATCGGGTCCTCCTGATTCTGGCATGGATTTCTTCCACTCTTTCTACTTTTCGTTCATTTCAATGACCACCATTGGTCTCGGAGATATCATGCC